AAATTTCTAAGGCCACCTGTTTTTGGACAACGTGCCGGTGGGCGGAAAAACTACTGCCATTCGCAACACAAGCTTGAAATCACTCGTCAGGTATTTTTGTTATCGCGTTTCACATCTAGGCACATATTCTCGTAAACGTCACTGTTGAGCCTAGCATACACCTATTACTTATCAGCTGTAAGTCAAAGGTGAGAAGCACATGTCAACAGGATTTCCGTGGGCATTTCCATTCGGTCCATCATTCCACTTTTGGAGTCACGAATATGTCCGTTTTCTTGTACACCAATGTGTTACTTTTATCATAACAACACTTGACACAAGACTCTCCAAAAACAACGTGGTCTCACCTTATAAATTGGTTCTCACACACTAGAAAACACTAGGTGTTTAGTACATGGTCTTGTAGGCCGGCGCAGGGGCATGCGAGCGACCAGGCTTGTAGGCTGGGGCCGGGGCATAGGAACCAGCAGGCTTGTAGGCCGGGACCGGGTGGTAGCTAGGCTTGTGCTCCTCATAGCGGGGCTCCCCAGTGTAGGTCATCTCGGCGATGTAGCCTCCGTGACCGTCGTGGTCAGTGACGTACGTGACATGCTGAGCACGGCCGTCTGGCAGGTTGACCGAGCAGTAGCCGTTGATATTCTTGGTGTCGCTGTTCTCGTTCTGGGAGAACACGGCACCGGAGTCTATCTGTAGTAATAGTCATTAGTTTGTACGTCGCTTCAAAAGTCTCCATTCAGAATGTTTAAAATGCGAGTATATTTAGAGGGCACTGGAATCCCTCACCACGGATTATTACTCCATACCTTCCACTGTTTCATGAGCATGATTTTTGAATCTAATGAAACTAATCATTTAATGCTTTCATTGTTTTGAAATAGTAATCGAGAGGATCCATTGATGAAAATAAGTTAATGTGCCTGCGCCATATTTATGGCTTAGTTTATATGAAGACAGCATCATTATATTCGTTGTCACCGCAATGAAAGGTTCTTTGGCAAAAACATTTTTCCCTTTTGTCTTTTCGTCATTTACCGGGCTGCCAAAGATCACATTTTCTTCTCTGCGCAGACTTTCTAGTTCAGTTTTGTCAGGTCTCGATGAGTGGTGTTCCATTGATTGCTTCAATTTCTTTGCAATGTCGGGATTTTGGCCTTCGATATTTGTCCTTTTGAATTGATTGTCGTTTATTTTCGATTATGGACATTAAGCAGTATAATACTCCTACTCATAATATGATGAGTGGATTGGGGCACAAGCGGAACACTTAAATCTGAACACCTCTCCTAACAATAGCAAGATGTGGTCATCACCGCCATGGAACCCGCGACACACTACCCACCCACCCGATCCGTAAGCCGACACAGGCCAGGCGCCTGCCGCCGCTCCAGCTCTCATACTCATATAGCCGCCTCGGGCCAGCGGCGGGCGCCCGGCCCGACAACGCCACCCATTGGCTCGTCTGCTGCCCGCACCCGCTGGAAGTTTTTAGGCGAATGGTTTGGTCTGAAAAAGAAATGTGTGGAAAAATTGTGCTGTATGCTGCCGATTGCGATCCTGTAAACCGCTACCTGTGAGATCGATACCTAGTTGCTCGTTATGAGTGAGCTCAAAAACGTTTGGAATGATACTATCTGTTTTACGTAGCATTGCAATTCGAATTTCATGATAGCAAGGACAGTTCAGTACGAAGTGTTTTTGCTCTCCATATGGTAACTGGGTCGTGTGAGTGAGATGTGTATAGCTGGTATACTCGGCAAAGAACAATATGTCATTATCAGTCTTGTCGGCTAGGTCTTTAAGCTATATAAGCGCAAGGAGAGGTCCCAGAGTATGCCCTTGCGGGCACCCAGAATGTATGGTCCTAGGCGTGCTGAAACTGTTGTCTACCTTAACTATCTGCTTATGGTCTGAGAGATACGATTCCAGCCAATTTAGAAGAGTTCATGATAAACCACAATATTTCTTGCACTTGAGAAGCAGGCCCTCATGCGATATCTTGTCAAATATTTACTAATGTCCAGGTAAATGGCTGTATTGTGATTGCCTCGGTCCAGTGCTGCATCAAGATGATTCATTAAATATAGCAGCTGAATTTGTGTGCTATGTTTTGGACGGTATCCACTTTATTTTTCAGAGAGCAGCCCATTCTCAGTTGAGCGTTCATATATATTATGCAATACGATTTTTTCAAGAAGGTTTGACACACAAGGAAGTACACTGATTGGTCTGTAGTTATCAGGATCCGAGCTTGACCCTTAGTCTCTTTGCTGGGAGTGTTGATGTAAAGTATGCTGCTACTCCTCCTCCATGTCGAGGCCTGTGCTTTGTCATTGGGTTGTGGTTGTCGTGTAAATTGTTCAAGCTAGGATGGACCTGGAGTCAAGTTTGGTTTCAGTCAGAAGCAGGATGTCAATGTTGTTATGTGTGGTAAAGAAAGCAAGTTCGTCCAGGCGTCGTGGAGATGTGATGCTGTTTATGTTGACATGTGATATTGTGACATTCTTAGTTGCTGGTGGTCCTGGGTTGATTTCCAGCCCACTGATTATTAAGCACGTTTCAATGTTAGGATATAGTTTAAATGACAGTTTTGAGCATTTGTGTGCAGGAGCTGAGCAAGTGAAGGTAAGATGGGTGCGTGAAGGAAAAGAGTAGGTGAGAATTGGACAATGGCATGGCATGAGGGTTGAAAGGGATAGAGGAAAAATACCAGCAACTGCTCAGCAGCCCACCTCCAATGTCCCAGCTGAAAAGGTTGATTAAATAATGTCCGAAAAAGTCACCGGAAGCAGCAGGCTAAATTTGGCAGCGGGCACGTAGCGGCATCCAGGAACTGGCCGCTAGTGGTCAGTGACTTGAGGGTCGCACTAGTGACAGTGTGGATAATAGTGGAAATGCAATGGCACAAAAGGGCAGTGATGAAGAAAAGAAACAAATAAGCACAATGGCTACTCTAATCATGCATCAAACATGGCTATGTCATTGGGGCAAAGCACACCTCATATGGGCATATCACATTGTGAGTCATGGACCTCAAACCAACAGAAATACGATTACCGTTAACAAATGCAAATACAGTCAAGCAGACATAGTTAGCACAGAATGCCTGATGTGAAATGATGGCCTTGAGCAAAAGTGTCATATATCAACCACGACATCAACACAGTATGGAGCAACAAACTTATTACCTAGGGGTGCCACAGCCTCAAACGTTTCAGTCACTAATGACGGTATTAACATGAGGGTGTCTCTACAGCGGTGGAGGGGCCGGGGTCTCATGATCATCTGCATTTCCGTTGGGATTCGGTCGATCCCTCTACTTTTGTAGTCACGAATACGTCCGTTCTCTTGTGCACCAACGTATTGCTTTTATCATCGCAACACTTCAGAAAAGACTCCACAAGAGCAATTTCGCTTCATATTATAAATGGGCTCTCACACACCAGAAAGCACTAGGTGTTTAGTACTTGGTCTTGTAGGCCGGCGCAGGGGCATAAGAGCGAGCAGGCTTGTACGCCGGGGCAGAGGCATACGAGCGAGCAGCACCGTTCTCCATCCATCCAACCTGCACCGTTGTTCTCCGGCATCCGATAGCCCTGAAATGGTCATGACCGGCCGAAACTGCTCTGATCTAAACTTCTGAAACATCACGGCATCGTATTTACGAGCATCTTGTTGTTCTTCAGCAGCTCCGCTAGCCACAAACGTCTTTATTATCTCACACTCCTCACCTGAACAAAAATCACATCTCGCACATTTCTATAACCGTAGATCGCAAAGTACATAATGGTACCCCAAAGATCTACACTGCTGTAGTTACTCATTAGTCTAGTTAAATTTGCTGCCAGGTAATCATAGAACGAATTCTTTAAGATTTGGTGTGTATTTTAAAAGCAGACAGAACACTTTGCCGTGAGTTAAATTGGCAAGTGTGTTCTTCAAAATAATACACGGTACATGGACACAAAATCAAGTTTTCCTCTTGTACGATGGATTAAATAACCTGCAACCTTGACCGAAACCGATCAGTGACCACCCGCCCCCTACCCCCTTCTCCCACCGGCTTGCGTTCGTCTCCGTGCTGTGAGGTGGCTGTCACCAGTTCCGGAAGTCCTGCATTTAATCTTGTGTTGAAGAACGTGTAAATCCATGGTGATGCTGTAATTAGAACCAGAAATAAACGCTGCACATAGCGCAAACCGATTTCTTGCGGTTTAGTCATACGCCGAAGCTGATGAAGCATACCAAAGGAATGATATCAATGACTCGGCAGCATCACTTACACACCAAAGGAATGACATCAGTGACTCGACGGTATCACTTACGCACCAAAGGAATGGCATCAATGACTCGTGAACATCATTTAAGGCGTTCTTTTTTACGTAACCCACTAGCTGCTTACCATGACAAAGTCAGTGATTGTCCAGCGTTGAAATATTGCTCCCTAGATTTACAACGCTGTTGTAGTGGTGTTAAGCGTTCTTAAAGCCTCAAGGAAACTATTCTTGCTTCAGCTGCAAATGACGGATCTCTAATGTCACCAGCGATATCACAGGCTCAAAAGAGATGTTTGGGCCGTTTTGCGAAAGCAGCGAGCTTATCTTTACAAAACCTAAATACCACAGTCGTTTCTTCTCATCCTTGGTAACTTATTCTTCTTCCGAAACCTTTGATATCTCTGATTATTCAAAGCGCAAAAAATACAAGTCATGCATTTGATCGGCAAAATGGCTCATGTTTTCGCCGCTTTCAATGATTGGCTGAGTGCTTCATCGACCTTTTAGCAATGATCCCGTTTCAGAACTAGACACAAGCTTACGCATCCAATGCAGTTTCGCGCGTGCATACTTTTTAGATGGCCAGGTCTAATCCAAAGATGGGGGACGCCTAGGAAAAGGTCTTCTGCAGACATGTCGTCGTTTCCTCTCGTGTTTGAAGCAAAACTACGCTCCCTTTATGGTACAATAATTTATTGGCGGTCATCACGACATGAATGTCAAATTTCACACGAACAGACTTACATTATAAATATTTGTTCACACCAGAGCACTAGGTATTCAGTACTTGGGCTTGTAGGCCGGCGTAGGGGCATACGAGCGAGCAGGCTTGTACGCCGGGGCAGGGGCATAAGAGCGAGCAGGCTTGTACGCTGGGGCGGGGGCATACGAGCGAGCAGGCTTGTAGGCTGGGGCCGGGTGGTAGCTAGGCTTGTGCTCCTCATAGCGGGGCTCTCCAGTGTAGGTCACCTCGGCGTTGTAGCCTCCGTAACCGTGCTGGTCAGCGACGTACTTGACGTGCTGGGTACGGCCATCGGGCAGGTTGACCGAGTAGTAGCCGTTCACATTCTTGGTGTCACTGTTCTCGTTCTGAGAGAAGACGGCACCGGAGTAGTGGTCGTTGACGGCATAGTCAAATTGGTAGGGTGTGTCGTAGTTGGCTGGCTCCTTGTAGGACGACTGGTGGTAGCTCGGGCCATGGGAGTACGCCGGCTGCGGGGCGTAGCTGTTGGCAGGAGCGGCGGAGGCAACAGCCAGCAGAGCGGTAGCGATGAACACCTGTGGAAGTAAAAATGCTTTCATTTCCTACAAGTCCATCTTGTTTCATCTGTGGTTCTCTTCTAGTGGGTTTTGAGATATGAAGTGGTATTGTGCCACTAACCAAAAGAAAGCTGATCATTGGGGTTGGAGCATGCAGCTTTGCACGAGCGTGCTGGTACTTGCCTTCATGTTTATAGCGTTGGTCTTGTCGACTGGTGCTGTGAACGGCGAACGGCCTGGTTTTATACACGCTCACGGTCTTGACCTTGACAAAGAGGCTGGGCGCGGCCCCGTGAATTGAATTTGGACCGGTGCCAGGACAGCGGATTGCATGTTCGCTACTTCCCCCTTGCGTTGAATATTAACGTAGCGAATTGACATGAATTCGGTCTGAGTTGGGCAGGAAAGGATGTTAACGTTAAAGTTGTTTCACTACTGTTGTAGTTACTTGCGTTGCGCTGGAACATATGCGACACTCGAGCGTTGCAGCGCGGCTGTGCCTGTTCTTGGAGGGTCATACCACGACAAAACGGTGGGAGCGTAACACGGCACAGCCTTCAAATTAGACGACAACACATGTATAGGATACCTCTACTGCGAAAACACAATTTTAAAAGTTTTAGAGCAGAGCAGTTTACCTATAAAACACTAGGACTAGATGAAAATATGCAATGATATCGCGAAACTATTCTTCTATTTCTTCTAGCGGAAGCAGTTCTGTGGAACGTAAGGTTTGGGAGACGTGCATCGGAGAGCCAAATTATTGTATTGTTTTGAGACATGGGTCAATTTATTTTAAGTCATCCAGGCGCACTCGTGCTTACTTTACCTCATGGGCCCGAGGTTGGCATTTCATCTCATTGTCTGAAAAACATGGTGCAATCTATATTCTTTGAACAGTTATGCAGTTATAGACCAATTTTTGCCGTTCAGCTTAGAAAGCATGTGAGCGATCTCTTCTTGATCGGTTGCATATCCAGTTCAAGCATTGGCAGATCACGCACAGCGGCGCGCCACGTCAGGTCACCGGGCGTGGTCGGCTCACACCGTCGGGTTATGTGACCGTAATCTTGAAGGGATGTGTTTCGACATAAATCAGATCATTTAGGTAGTCTTCCGAAGGATGCTAACAATGTCTGAATGGCGAATGCGTGTCTGTCGTCCTTCACGAGTCTTGCACAGTTGGCAATGTCGTGCGCTTTTCCACCATCACAGCACACCCATGGCCGTTATATCAAGTGGATCTAAAGTTGCATTGCTATATTTTCCAATGCCACATTGGGAGAGGAAGGAAAGTCGCCTCGGTTACCGACAGTACGCATATAATTCAACGCCGGCTCCGCGTAAGCGAGACCGGGGGAAATAGAGGGTCATTTTATGATAGAGCTTTTTTCCCGGGAGGTCGGGAAAATAATGACGTACAGTTTTGCTCTTTTTAACAAGTGGTTCCAGCGAGTGCGCAATGAAAAGAAACTATGATAATTAGGCGAAGAACTCGAATGGAGAATGTATGGAAGACCACGCCTCGGAGCTTAAGATATAATTCGATATTGTGTTTTCCGCATAATTCCACATATTCGACCCCACGTCGTTTGTGAGTTTTGCAGTTGTATCATTGAACGCCAAGGATATTTTTTTGTCTAGTTGATGTCAGCACACATGCATCATTAACAGCATGCATGCAGCATTGGACGAGAGTGCTGGTGCTTTCCGTCATGTTCGCAGTGTTGGTCTTGTCAACCGGTGCTGTAAACTGCGAACAGTCTACCGCATACATGCTTTCGGTCTTGACCTTGACTGGAAGGCTGGGCGCGGCTCCATGAGTGAACATAGGTCAGTGCTGGAAGTGAAGCATGTGCGGTGGCTAGCTTCCTGTGAACGGTATTGAAGGTGAGATCACACTTTCACATACCCTATTATTTGATTTGACTACGAAAGACCGTAACCTCCTGATCATTCATGTCCAGTGCTCATGATAATCTTAGATGGGCGTTGCACCCAGTCGTCCGTGAGTATACGAGTAGATACAGCCACATTTAACTCGGACGGGCTTCGGTGCAGCGGGCGAGCCCTCAACGACCCAATCTTTGCGGCGAGAGGTAAGAACGAACACAGCCGCAGTAATCATTAGATTACTGACCGTGATTCTGTGCCAATAAATTGGGATCAGTGGGTGCCTGTAGGGAAATGCGAAACACTTGAATAGGTCAGCTTGATAAAACATTGATTGTGAAAAAACTCTCTTTGTGTGCTTGACGATTCAAACATGTTGAGTACACGTAAAAGACACTGACATTTTTCACTCATGTATCAAGAACAGTGACATAGTGTAATGTGAACAGCTTGCAGCCGCAAATGCGTAGTACGAATGGTAGGTGTCCGATGCGACATGTCCGATTAGCGACGTGTCAGCCATTGTTTGTAGCATCTTACCGCAAACGCTTCTCCTATCAGTATCTTGTCTATTGACCGCGTAAATGATTGTGTTGTGTGTGTGCGTGTGTGTGTGTGTGTGTGTGTGTGTGTGTGTGTGTGTGTGTGTGTGTGTGTGTGTGTGTGTGTGTGTGTGTGTGTGTGTGTGTGTGGTGTGTGTGTGTGTGTGTGTGTGTGTGTGTGTGTGTGTGCCGGGTCTGTTAAACTCGTGATTGATTATTGTGCGTTAGGTTTGCCACAGTTTTGTGTGGTGTTTGGCGAGCTCATATATTGTAGTAAGATTTTCCCGTTGGTATTACGATGAAGAGATCGCCGCTCGGGGCTGTTATGTCGTTTTGGCCTTGGCCGTGCGGGTGACCCACATTCGCGCTGCCCTGTCCGCTATAACCGACACCGGGCGCGGGGTTAACGCTATGCCCGGCCGTGTGTGGCGGCATTCTTCCGTCGCTCGCGGTTTCCGTGATGTTGTTTGGAATACCGACAGCAAATTGCGTGTTTTGGTGACATGGCAATGACAGAAACATCATATTGACATGATCATCCCATTCGCTCCCTGTCCATTAATGTTCTTAGAGTGAGAAATCTTGATTTTGACTTGCTGGAACGTACGCCCACCAAGGTGAAGCATGCCGTTGAATGATGGCGCGGAATTAATTCATGTCAGCATTAAGTCATGAGACTTATTACGGTGTTCAGCTGGAGTGCGCGTGGCATGCGAGACTAGGTATGGAGACGCACAATTGTTTGTTATTTACGCGCCACATATTCATCTCATATAATTATCTTGGAAGGAAAACACACTCCCCGTTGGAAACAGAAATCACGTGGGGAAATGAATGGGGCGCGGCCGGGTACATTCAACTATGGAACAGCGCATCAGGTGGGCGTGTGTTTCCTAGCCGATTCGATGGGTCGGTTCAGGGGTCAGGCTGGCAACGGAGAGGGGCGACTGGCTGGTGACCGACTTAATATTGATTGAGATGATTTTGCTGTGTTAGGTGTGCATGCATCAGTGGTTGATATTCAACCGTAAATAACTGTACTCTTGTATAGGATGCAGGATGCTATTGTGCTCTGTGGTTAGTTAACACAATTCTGTGCGGGAACTGCCATATTCGCTTGAGGCCGAACGCTACGGAGACAGTAGGGACTTATGTTTGGAGCGCAAGCAAATGCCTCTCTGGCATCATCAGCGAGTTTTGTCTTGAAGATATATGGAGGCAGTTAAACCCCTCTAAATAGGAATAAACGTGGCGGCGATCAGGCCAACCACAGCAAACGCGTACAGGTCATGTATTTGTTAGCGAGACACTTTGCTGTAGCCTTGACGTACAGTCGATTCCTAAATTACTACAACATTACGATTACGATTTTCCGATGCGATTCGACGAGACGATTACGATACGATACGATTTTAGACGAATACTAAACAAATAATGGTGGTAAAGTACTACGAGAAAATAAAGCTAGCCTAGAGATATTGCACGAAATATTACAGGGAGATTTTCACGTCAAAAGGTCCAGCTGAAGGGATAATGGTTATATTTTTGGGAGTGATCAAGCTGCAAAGCTCACCGCACGGGAACATGGGCAATGTGACGGTCTGATTGGGGGCAAAGAATGCAACTTAGCGTTGAGTAGAAAGAACAAAGTAAACGCTCTGGCATCACGTGATTTACAGCGGAATCATCGCTCACTATTGGAATTATCTCAAAAGCATCGTAGCCGTGAACATCAACGACGTTTTTGTTCACGTTTTCTTTAACCCGGCGTCGGAGCATCGTAGCCTTGGTTCCCAAGAAAGAAGACCAGACCGGATGACAAAACAAGGGGTCTCGATGTTTACGAGATTTAAGTTTTCTCATTGTTGCAAAGGTTATTGCTACTCCCATTGGCTGTCATCCATAAATGGGTGTCTCCAGATAAAACTGGATTGGCGAATGTTAATTTATAGGTGAAAACATAAGGTTAACGGCCCATGCCGTTAAGTATTGGGATAACGATTAGACTGGAGGATTGATGATGCCTTGCGATATCTGGCTTCGCTCGATTCACCGGAATGCCATTGTTATATCTGTTCTTTTGGAGCGTACAATTTTGAGGACAATTCAGTGCCGTGGATAAAGTTCTCAGCAGTAATGCACTTTCGGCAGTAGTGCACAGCTGGTTTACATCAAACTGGTTTTAGTGTGGTCGCGGCACGTTCTAGGAATCTCATATGAGGGAAATGTTGTTCGACTTGACAACATAAATTTTAGAGATCAATATAGAAAACAGCATAAGTATTTTTGGCACCAGAGTGAATAGTGTAGACGGAAATATATGCTTCTGTTCTGACGAGATAACATTGTTCTGCCAGTCAATCAAGCAACCGCAGCAATCGGCAGAGACAGTACTGCGCGCCATGAACGAGCTCAGGAAATATTTTTGGTTGGGACTTAGCCAGGAGCCGGGTGATGTTGGGGGCTCAGAAGGACAGTAACGGGTCCGTTTCGGGAATACAGACCGTGAAGATGAATGGAATAAGAAGGTTCAGAGTCAAGGAATGCGATTCATAATGCGTGACTAGCCGCGTAAAGTTGCTAAAAGAATACTGACCCAGGATATGG